TGCACCCCACGGTTTCCTAGTGCAAGACTCCAAGCCCTGAGGAAGGAGGCTTTGCTGAAAGTGACCCGGCAAAGCACTGCCACTGGAGCAGGAACCAGCACTCCGGTGCCCAGACCCCAGGTGGATTCTGCAGAGTGCCATCCGAGGCCCAGGGCAGCTCTGTCACGCGGCACCCTGCCGCGCTGGGGCCTCCTTGCAAGTCCTCTGCAGCAGAGCTGACCCACTTCCGCCTCGTGCCTTGCTCCTCTCACATTCCTCGCCGGAGACGGATCTGTGTTAAACTGTCCTTGGCATCGCCGCAGTCCTCCAGGAGGCCTCGGGGAGGCTCTGGGCGTTTCCAGAGCGCTGGCCTGTGGGAAGAGGGCAGCGCCTCGGGCTTCTCATCCATTTCCTACGCTGCAGACAGGCAAATGGCTGTCCTGGAATGCCTGGGCCGGGCCTCAAGGGTCCCTCACAAATTGCGGCTTATTTTTAGAATAGAACCTTGTGAAAAGCAAGCGTGGCCTCAGGATTGCTGAAGTCGAGAAAAGGGCCTTTGCTGAGTGCCTCCTATGTGCTGATCCCGACCTCAAACCCTGCAAAGCTTTGAAGAGAGAACCCAGGACATACAGAGGAGGGGCGACCTGAAGGCAGAACCTTCCTGTCGCTCCCCCTCTTCGTGGAGGAACGACACAGGACCCTGCGCTGTTCTTTCGTCTGCTCGGCCCTCCCCGGGTTTGCTGCTGGTTCTTCCCGGGTTGGCTACTGTCCCTTCCACCTCCGTGGAAGGGCAGTTCCCCCTGGCCGCATTCCCCACTTCCGCAGGGGAGCGGCACACCGCCGGCCGGCTTTCTCGGGGGCTGCACGGGTTCCCTTAGATGTTCCCCATAGATGTTCCCGGTGCATGCCGTCTCTCTCCTCCTTTATAGTCCTCCTCCGCCAATCCCAACTCGGCTGCCCACACGCCGAGTACGCTGCTCTCCAATCAGGAGCAAGTCCTACAGTTAATTGGTTGAACTGGAGGCAGCTGCGCGGAAGCTGTTTACTTCTCTCCCAGCGCCATATTGTGGGAGAGCAGATGCATAGAATAAGTCTTAATTCCAGTAACTCAGTCCAGTCCGGATTGCTCCCCACACTTCCCACCGAGACCTAGGACCCCATCAACCATTTACCTATTTACTCATTCATAGCAAAAGCTTTGGCACAGGACGGATCAGGATTCAAATCCCAGCTCCACCACTCGCTAATTGTGTCACCTAGAGCTCAAGTCTGCATTAAGAGGATTATTATTCCCTTAAATTGGGAATACTAGTAGTTAGTACCTATCTCACACACTGGCTGAAAGGCCGAAATAAATTAGCATGTGGACAAGCTCAGTTCAGGGCCTGGCAGCCCACTTCACGCCAGGATTTGGTGGCCACCATTACTATTTCAACATATCTTCCCAATGAGGCCTTCTGCGTGCCGGCCTCTGCGCTGGAAGTAGTGCAAATAATAGCCCTTCCCTCCAGAAGCCCCATCAGAGAAATAAATGAGGCAGGCCTACACGAACAGGCAAGAAATGTGTCTCCTGGCGCTGCTAAGTGAAAAAGGCCAGCGTAAGCTGCAGAATTACAGATATAGTAGCATCTTGTGGTTATAATTTATAATACATGCTTAGGTGGGGCATAGGAAAGACACGAAGCACGTAAAGAACTAGAGGACTTTCACTGTTCTCATTATTTCTGCTTGGCCTTTCTGAGTGTGCGTGAACTAGCAACTTCCAAAACAGACTTTACCAAGTGCTAAGAGGGAGAGAAGGGGCTGAAGTGATGTAAGCAGCATCCACGACTCAGATCCGAGGGCAGCACGGCAGTCCACGGTGCAGACCACCAGGCAGTTCCACAGCTCCGTCTCCTTCTCCGTGGGTTCCGGGGAAAGCCCCTTCCCAGGTCATCCTTACGCCACCCCCCGCCCTTAATTACTCTTGAACTCCCAATGCCACAGCCAAAGGCAAGGCTCCCAACAGAACTGCCAGGAAGTGTGGCAAAGCCAGTATAAAAGACTTTTAAACAGAAAGGTTTTTTTTTTTTCTCTCTGTCCATTTGGTCAGGGTCCTGCAGAATTCAAACCAATAGGATATATATATATATATACATACACACACACACACATACACACACATATACACACACACCAGTACACATATGGAAAGCCAGCATGGGAATCGGCTGGCATGATTATGGAAACCAAAAGCCCCATTATCTGCCATCTGTAAGCTAAAGACCCAGGAAAGGTGTCGATGCAATTCAGTCTGGAGATGCAGGAATGGAAGCTGGAGAGAGGGCACTGGTGTTAAGTCAGGAGTCCAGGCGCTGATTGGCAGTAATTGTCTGAGATCAGAAGACGGATGTCCCAGTTTGAGAAGAGGGAATAAATGTGCCTTCCCTCCACCCTTTATTTAGTTATTTTATTTTCTATTTTATTTGAAAGAGAGAGAAAGAAAAAGGAAAGGAAAGGAAAGGAAAGGAAAGGAAAGGAAAGGAAAGGAAAGGAGAGGAGAGGAGAGGAGAGGAGAGGAGAGGAGAGGAAAGGAGAGGAGAGGAGAGGAGAGGAGAGGAGGAAGGAAGGAAGGAAAGAAAAGAGAGAGAGAGAGAGAATCTCTCATCTGATGGTTCACTCTACAAATGCCTGCAGTGACTGGGGCTGGACCAGGTCAAAGCCAGGAGCCAAAAACTAAATCTGAGTCTCCCGGGTGGGTGGCAGAGACCCAATTACTTGAGCCATCGCCTGCTGCCGCCAGGGTGCACTCAGCAGGAAGCTGGAATTGGGAGCACAGCCAGGGAGGGCCCTAATGAAGGGAGGCATCAGGTATGGGAAGTGGTGTGCCAAGTGGGTTAACTGCTGCACCAAAGGCCCGCCCTTCCTCCACCTTTTGTCCGGGTGGGGCCTCAGTGGACTGCATCATGCCCACCATCCCCATGGTGAGGGGGACCTTCTTTACACAGCCTACCAACTCAAACACTAATCTCTGAAGTATACTCACAGAGATTCACAGAAATACTTTATTAGCTATTTGAGCATCCTTTAGCCCAGTGAAATTGTCGTAGAAAACTACCCATCAGAGCCTCAGGCCCCTCCCTCCCCTCCTAAAGAAACAATATGGGAGCCAGTGCTGTGGTTTAGCAGGTAAAGCCACCGTCTGCAGCGTTGGCATCCCATATGGGCACCAGTTCAAGTCCCAGCTGCTAATACTCCTGGGAAAGCAACAAATGATGGTCCAAGTGCTTGGGCCTCTACACCCACATAAGAGACCTGGAAGAAGCTCCTGGCTTCAGTCTGGCCCGACCATGGCTGTTGTGGCCATCTGGGGAGTGAACCAGCAGATAGAAGATCTCTCCTCTCTCTCTGTCTCTCCCTCTCTCTCTCTCTTTGTAACTCCACCTTTCAAACAAATAAACCTTAAAAAAAAATAACAATATGTCATCATCTTTTGTGTACTATGCCTAAACTTGCAGTTTCACTTTCCCTGATGATATCCTTCTGGAATTTAAAACTTTTACAAGGACCATGTATAACTTTGTCATAAAGCAAGGCAATAAAAGCGTATATATATATATATATATATATATAAAGCTAACGAACCTAGAGTTGTTTCAGTTGTGCTGGTTTGCAAACAATAAATTATAACACAATATGGTCTAGGCCAGTAGCAAAATCTCCTGGGAATCTTAGAAGCTAAGAGTTGGAAGGGATAAAATTGCCCTCAATTCTCCCACAATCCCCAAAATAGCATGATTTTAAGTCCCCTCACATCTCAAGGCACTCAGCATGCATGCATTTTACTCATTCACTGCACAAACATTTATGGATCCCTTGCTATAAACCAAGAACCACACTGGGTGCTTTACCTACTCAATCTCCTGCAGGTTACAGGGAATCACTATTGCTGTCTTGCAGATTACGCAAACAAGGCTTAGTGAGGTCAAAGAATTTGCCCAGGGAGAGGGACCTATACAACTTCAAAGACCAAGTCCAGGAGTCAGCGCACTGAATTCCCAAGCAGAAGAGCCGGCACTCAGGCTGGTGTTGGTGGGGTGGCCTTGGGCAAGTCACAGGACTCCTCTCTGCAGCAGTACCCCCTCACCCCCGCGGGATAAAGGTATGTCTAGATGGTTTGTACAAGTTAAGCACTTAGTAAGCTGGGATGGGCAACACAAAGGAAAACCATCGCATCAGCTCTTCCAAGACCAAGCTTCACTCTTCTCTGCATCTCTCGGGGCTCCCCCACCCGTGTACACCCCCTCTAGGGCACGTGGGACGGCTTCTTTCCATGACCCCACCTCATTCCCCCCAGTAGCCTGGAACCTCTTCAAGGACAAGTCTGTCCTGCCCCAGCACAGCACCCGCATGCATCTCTCCGTTCCTTCAGTCTTGCACTTACAAGTGCCTGTGTGCCCCACACATACTGGGCACTGCACTGTTGAACATACAGCCGAGGTCTCTGCCTTCCTGGACCTTGGGAGGGGGGGTCGGAGAGACAGGACGGCGTGATTACAATTACTTCCTAACAATTGTACTAAATGCCACGGAGCATCAGGCCAGCTGCTATGGGGGACAGGGGTTTGCAGCGAGGGGACCTAACTGAATCCAGGACCAACCCTGGAGGAGGTGCCCTGGAGGAGGTGCCCTGGAGGCTCAGAAAGGTTGAGGAAATTGCTCAAGGTCAAACAGCTAGTCAGTGGAAGAGCTGGGAGTTTAACCCAGAGATGCCTGGCTCCTGGCTCCATGCGGGTACTGGAAGACACTGCTGCTTGTCTCCTCCATCTTTTTCTTCCTTGGCTCTCACTGGGGAGTAGGGAGCCAGGTCTGCCCAACACCGCAGCCCCGGGATACACAAGGATTCTTGAACCCTCCCACCCCCGCCTCGAGCCCCTGACGGACCGCAGACGCCAGGGACCAACTTTAGAGTCCCGCAGACCTCCAGTCGGCTCTCGAACCCTGGTCCTGCGGTTCCCCGGCCGTGACCTTGGCCCACTCACCTACTAACCCTCAAGCCTCGGGGCCTCTTCTCCCAGAGAGGACCGGACACCCCTCCCTCCCCAGCGCGGCCGCAGCGGCCGGGGCCGGGAGCCGGGAGGCGGTGGGGCGCTGGCGCCTGCGGGACTCTCGCGTGTCTTGTCCCGCAGCCCCGGCTCGGGCTGCGGCGCTCGGTGCGTTCCTCGTGCGCGGACTGCAGCAGGCGCGCGGGCGCGGGCGCGGGCAGGGGGCGCGCGTTTGCCGCAGTGACAGCTCCGCGGCGCCTGGGAAAGCGGCCGTGCCGGGCGCGCTCGCGGCTTTTCCCACCCACCCGGCAGGGCGTTCCCGCCAGCCGGCTTCCTGCAGGCGAGGGCCGGGGAGGCGGGAAGGCGCGGAGGGGCCGCTGGGCCTGGCAGGCTTGGTTCCTGGCTTTCTCTCCGCGTTTCCTGAGCAGGACCGGCCGGGGGGATGGGACCCAGCGCACAGCTCCTTCCCCGGGAGCGTAGCCAGAAATCGCGTCCTTGTGAAGTCAGGTTCCTCCCCTGGGCCGGAACGTGCTGATGACCCACCCTGCAGCGGGTGTGATGCGACCCACTGACCCCACGCAGAACCTGAGAGATGGGTTTTACAGGCTCCAGACCCCACGGATTCCAGCCGCATGATGTAAGTTTCTTAGCCCCAGCCTCCAGATGAGAAAACTGAGGCTTTAAAAAGTGAGATGACTTCCCCAAGATCATCCTTAAAATATTAATTAATCAGACCATGAGCCTAACCATACACCAATGCTACAAATGCTGGAAGTGTGTTTTGTTACTGAATGCTCCTAACACAGGAAGATAACCACTCTCCCTATTTTATAAATAAGGAACTAGGAGGAGGCCGGGGAGGTGACTTCTCCAACGTCGTCACAGGGCCACAAGGTAACAGCTGGGAACTGACAGACTGGTGTTCCCGGAGCCCCGAGGCCTCCCCTAGCTGGCTTCTTCATGACGCCTGGGTAGCACGCCCGCCAGGCCCTCGTGGCCTCTGTTTCTGAGCTCCAAAGCCGCCTGAGGAACTGGGCACCCAGAAGGTGTGACCGTGGACGCTCACACTTAGGACTGGTTGTCGGCAGATACCCTGACTCCCTCTCGAGTCTTCATCCAAGTAAAAAGCCAGCCATTCCTACCACAGTGAACTTTCTCCCTCCCCTAATATCGCATCCCCCTGTTGGACCATACGCCTTTGGTATAAAATGTAGATGCTCCATGTGCCCGCTGTTCCTTGTCAAAAGGCAAGACTGTTTCCTTCCTGGTCGCCCCGGGACACATGGCATGGGACACAGCCATCTCCCAAGGGCGGAGGGTTCAATGGGTTTGAAGTCCCTTCTGCCTCGAAGAATGCCAGCCATTCACTAGAGCACTTCCCTGTGGAGAGCTGCCGCAGAGGCCAGCAGCCCGGACTACACTTGGGAGCACCCTTCACAATTATCTCCGGGGCTGGTGTGTGCCAGTGGTGTATGGGCAGACAGTGGGCGCCACATCCCGGCCCGGGTGCTCACTAAGCATGAGCGTTTCCTCGCTCAGTTTTTTTTTTAAGGTTTATTTATTTATTTGAAAGTCAGAGTTACAGAGAAGCAGAGGCAGAGAGGGAGAGAGAGGTCTTCCATCCGATGGTTCACTCCCCAGTTGGCTTCAACAGGTAGAGCCATGCCAATCTGAAGCCAGGAGTCTCCTCCAGGTCTCCCATGTGAGTGCAGGGGCCCAGGGACTTGGGCCATCCTCCACTGCTTTCCCAGGCCATAGCAGAGAGCCAGATCGGAAGTGGAGCAGCCGGGACTTGAACCGGCGCCCACATGGGATGCCAGCACTGCAGGCAGTGGCTTTACCCGCTTCACCACAGAGCCAGCCCCCCTCACTCAATTTTTCTCTTCCATCTGCCTAGCAGATGCCAAAACGGGTGACCTTAGGATCCAGATGTTGAATATGGCAGAGCCTTTGTCTGCTGGGTCTCAGTGAGTCACTCGGCTGTGTGGGGCACACATTGAACTGACTTCTATTGTCCACAGGCCAGGTAAGCAGCGTGGTAAGGAGCGAAGGGGTTGGTGTCAGACAACTTCAGAGGCATTTGTGAACCTGTTCAAGGTTCAGTTTCTTCATCCATATAGTGGGGACAATAAAAAAAAAATAGTACCTACCTAAGAGAGCTGCCTAAAGATTATGTACAGTATACACAAACAATGATGAGTATAACAGGAATATTTCTGTCCACAGAGTATAACAGGAATATTTCTGTCCACAGGCACCCACAAAATAAGGAAGAAACCAACAAAATAAAGAATCTCACTTAGAACCCCCAGACCAAGGAAAATACTTTTTTTAAAAAGATTTATTTTATTTGAAAGACAGAGTTACAGAGAGAGGTAGAGACAGAGGTCTTCTATTTGCTGGTTCACTCACCAAATGGCTGCAACAACAGAAGCTTAGCCGATTCTGAAGCCAGGAGCCAGGAGCTTCTTCTGGGTCTCCCACAGGAGTGCAGGGACCCAAGCACTTGGGCCATCTTCCACTGCTTTCCCAGGCACATTAGTAGGGAGCTGGATCAGAAGTGGAGCAGCCAGGATTCAAACTGGTGCCCATATAGGATGCAGGCGCTGTGGGTCAGGGTTTTAATCTGCTGTGCCACAGCACCGGCCCCTGGAAAATACTTTTTAGTATTTCAGATAGTGGAACAGAGGAGAAGGAGTTTGGGACAAGATGTCACTTGGGAAGCCCGCATCCCATGTTGGAGTGCCTGGGTTCGAGTCCTAGCTCTGCTTCTCATTCCAGCTTCCTGCGAATTCATATCCTGGGAAGCAACAGGTGATGGCCCAAGGACCTAGGTCCCTGCCACCCACTCGGGGGACTCAGACTCCTGGCTTCAGCCTGGACCAGAAGCATCTGGGAAGTGAACCAGTGGATAGAATACAGAATATCTGGAATCTCTCTGTCTGTCTGTCTCTCTCTCTCTCTCTCTCTCTCTGTCTCCCTGCTTTAAAAAAAAAAAAAAAAAAGTGAAGCATAAACATTACATTTCTCCCAGACTGTGTTGCCCTGGGCTGATCCAAGTATGGTTTCTTTGCTTGCAGCTGGAATTCCCTTGGCTTAGTTCAAGGCAGCCCCCACCCTGGCTGGCCTGCTTTGGAACTACTCTGTCCCAACGAGGTTCGGCAGAACCAGGAGGACCACCCCGCTACAGCCGCAGACTGTCTGCAAGGGAGGCCGAGAAGCTGAGACGCCTCTTCATGCGGTGCTTCCTAGACACCCAGCACCATGGAGCTCACCACACGGCACCCACAGCTGTGTCAAGAGGCAAGCTCCATTCATAATCACATTTTACAGGCTCAGAAAGGCAAAAGGCCCTGGTCATGGTCACAGAGTCAAGAGGTGGCAGAGCTGGGACTAGAAAGAGATGTATCTGGGGCCACCATGTGTGTTCCTAACCACCAGGCTACACTGCCTCTGCCCTCTAACCTGAACCAGAATCTTGCTGCTTTCATTAGCCAACCTCCATCTCCCTAGGTCTCCTGCCTACATCAAGGATCTTGCAGGATACACCAGCTACTGGGACCACCCACTCCTGCTCCTGGCCCCTGGCAACCTCTTATCCTGGATAACTGTCTTATGGGCAAGAAGGCAAAACAGACATGTTTCACTTGAGCGCCCTAGGCCAGTGAGAACCCTGGGTGGGTAAAAAATGAGCCACGGTTGCCATCAGCCCAGTCCAACCTGCATCTCTTATTTGCTCAGTCTCTGGTTGGCCTCTCTGCCTCCTGGCCCTGCCACCTCCATTCCTCCCTTCTCACACAGCCCGAGTGGTCACACTCAACACCGACCGCATCACTTCCCAGTGGCACCATCTTCAACAACTCCCTTTAGCTCCCAGGATCAAGTTCCAGACTGGCAGCTTGGTTCAGTCCAGCCCTCTCTTCCATCCCAGCCATTCTCGGCTCCCATTCTCCCAGACCATTCACAGTTTGCAGCCCCAGCCTTTGCACCTGCAGCTCTCTGTGTGGTGTGAGATGAACGAACACGTGAATGAGTTGCCAGGCCTCTCCTGGGCCGGGGAAGCTGTCAGATCCCATCAGCCTCACCTTCTCTGGGTAGCAGCCAACACTTCCTGCCATCTGGCCGAAACGTCTCTGCCCAGCTGGGCTTGCCCGCCATCCGTCTAGAAAAAGGGCCATTCAAGAAGAGAGCGCCAGCTCGGTCCCGGCGTCCTGTGTCAGTGGCTAGTTTATGAGTGCGATGTCAGGGATGCCCTCAGCAGTAAGGGGGTGGGCGGGCAGCGTCTCCTGCCAGATCTGGGTGATGCCTGTGGCCAAGCTTTCAACCCTTATCCCACGCTCCCCGGCTTGGTGGAGAGACGAGTCCCTCTGTACGTGTGTGTAATGTACACAGCTGCCGCACGCTGTTCCGGAGCAGGCACCGGCCTCCCAGCTCACCATTTGCACTTGCTAAGGCAAATTTTCTTGACTGAGGAAGGTGCCCACCCACCTTTGATTTCTGTGCCTTTCCCTGGTGCTCTTCGCCACCTAGTGGTAGGAGGTGGACTAGAGCAGCATTTCTGATGACGGCCCAGAGAACAGGCGTGGTCCATTTAGCAAACTTCTCAAATTCTCAATGGCAAGTTTTTCAACCCAGTCTACATCCCTCTATAAGGCCAGAGCCTTCCTTGTGCCCGTGGTACTGAGAAAGGCAGAAGTTAATTCTGTCCTACTGTGGAATCTTGGATCTGCATCAGGTCCCCCATATGTGAAGAGGGCAGGTGGCAGATTGGACTGGCCAGGTGTGATGGTGCAGGATCTACAGTGATGCCTCCTCCCGTCGCTGGGTGAGCAGAATCTAAGCTCTGGAAGGCAGGGAAGTTGCTGGCTGTTCACTCTGTCCCACAGGCATGGGGCAGCACGTTACTGGGTTTGGGACTGTATTTTTTAAAAATGTGGCCTGGCACTATGGCACAGCAGGTTAAGCCGTGGCCTATAGTGCTGGCATCCCACATGGGTGCCGGTTTGTGTCCCAGCTCCACGTCCGATCCAGCTCCCTGCTAATGCGCCTTTGAAAGCAGTGGAAGATGGCCCACGTCCCTGGACCCTGCACCCATGTGGGAGACCTGGATGAAACTCCTGGCTCCTGGCTTCAGCCTGGCCCAGTCCTGGTTGTTGTGGCCATCAAGAGAGTGAACCGGTGTATGGAAGATTTCTCTCGCTGTCTCTCCTTCTCACTCTCTGTAACTGTACTTTTCAAATACATCTTTAAAAGTATCTTTTAATTC